GTGCATATCGTTAGTTAATTATACAAAACAATAATTAAGCTATTATATTAATTTTATATTAAAATTTTCTGTCTAAGAACTTTCAGTGTCACCCTCGTTGTTGGACACCGTGCTTGGCGCTGTTTTAGAATCCAGATATCACCCGTGTGAAGTCGGTGCATATCGTTAGTTAATTATACAAAACAATAATTAAGCTATTATATTAATTTTATATTAAAATTTTCTGTCTAAGAACTTTCAGTGTCACCCTCGTTGTTGGACCCCGTGCTTGGCGCTGTTTTAGAATCCAGATATCACCCGTGTGAAGTCGGTGCATATCGTTAGTTAATTATACAAAACAATAATTAAGCTATTATATTAATTTTATATTAAAATTTTCTGTCTAAGAACTTTCAGTGTCACCCTCGTTGTTGGACCCCGTGCTTGGCGCTGTTTTAGAATCCAGATATCACCCGTGTGAAGTCGGTGCATATCGTTAGTTAATTATACAAAACAATAATTAAGCTATTATATTAATTTTATATTAAAATTTTCTGTCTAAGAACTTTCAGTGTCACCCTCGTTGTTGGACCCCGTGCTTGGCGCTGTTTTAGAATCTAGATATCAACCGTGTGAAGTCGGTGCATATTGTTAGTTAATTATACAAAACAATAATTAAGCTATTATATTAATTTTATATTAAAATTTTCTGTCTAAGAACTTTTAGTGTCACCCTCGTTGTTGGACCCCGTGCTTGGCGCTGTTTTAGAATCCAGATATCACCCGTGTGAAGTCGGTGCATATCGTTAGTTAATTATACAAAACAATAATTAAGCTATTATATTAATTTTATATTAAAATTTTCTGTCTAAGAACTTTCAGTGTCACCCTCGTTGTTGGACCCCGTGCTTGGCGCTGTTTTAGAATCCAGATATCACCCGTGTGAAGTCGGTGCATATCGTTAGTTAATTATACAAAACAATAATTAAGCTATTATATTAATTTTATATTAAAATTTTCTGTCTAAGAACTTTCAGTGTCACCCTCGTTGTTGGACCCCGTGCTTGGCGCTGTTTTAGAATCCAGATATCACCCGTGTGAAGTCGGTGCATATCGTTAGTTAATTATACAAAACAATAATTAAGCTATTATATTAATTTTATATTAAAATTTTCTGTCTAAGAACTTTCAGTGTCACCCTCGTTGTTGGACCCCGTGCTTGGCGCTGTTTTAGAATCTAGATATCAACCGTGTGAAGTCGGTGCATATTGTTAGTTAATTATACAAAACAATAATTAAGCTATTATATTAATTTTATATTAAAATTTTCTGTCTAAGAACTTTTAGTGTCACCCTCGTTGTTGGACCCCGTGCTTGGCGCTGTTTTAGAATCCAGATATCACCCGTGTGAAGTCGGTGCATATCGTTAGTTAATTATACAAAACAATAATTAAGCTATTATATTAATTTTATATTAAAATTTTCTGTCTAAGAACTTTCAGTGTCACCCTCGTTGTTGGACCCCGTGCTTGGCGCTGTTTTAGAATCCAGATATCACCCGTGTGAAGTCGGTGCATATCGTTAGTTAATTATACAAAACAATAATTAAGCTATTATATTAATTTTATATTAAAATTTTCTGTCTAAGAACTTTCAGTGTCACCCTCGTTGTTGGACCCCGTGCTTGGCGCTGTTTTAGAATCCAGATATCACCCGTGTGAAGTCGGTGCATATCGTTAGTTAATTATACAAAACAATAATTAAGCTATTATATTAATTTTATATTAAAATTTTCTGTCTAAGAACTTTCAGTGTCACCCTCGTTGTTGGACCCCGTGCTTGGCGCTGTTTTAGAATCCAGATATCACCCGTGTGAAGTCGGTGCATATCGTTAGTTAATTATACAAAACAATAATTAAGCTATTATATTAATTTTATATTAAAATTTTCTGTCTAAGAACTTTTAGTGTCACCCTCGTTGTTGGACCCCGTGCTTGGCGTTGTTTTAGAATCCAGATATCACCCGTGTGAAGTCGGTGCATATCGTTAGTTAATTATACAAAACAATAATTAAGCTATTATATTAATTTTATATTAAAATTTTCTGTCTAAGAACTTTTAGTGTCACCCTCGTTGTTGGACCCGTGCTTGGCGTTGTTTTAGAATCCAGATATCACCCGTGTGAAGTCGGTGCATATCGTTAGTTAATTATACAAAACAATAATTAAGCTATTATATTAATTTTATATTAAAATTTTCTGTCTAAGAACTTTCAGTGTCACCCTCGTTGTTGGACCCCGTGCTTGGCGCTGTTTTAGAATCCAGATATCACCCGTGTGAAGTCGGTGCATATCGTTAGTTAATTATACAAAACAATAATTAAGCTATTATATTAATTTTATATTAAAATTTTCTGTCTAAGAACTTTCAGTGTCACCCTCGTTGTATGACCCCGTGCTTGGCGCTGTTTTAGAATCCAGATATCACCCGTGTGAAGTCGGTGCATATCGTTAGTTAATTATACAAAACAATAATTAAGCTATTATATTAATTTTATATAAAAATTTTGTGTCTAAGAACTTTCAGTGTTACCCTCGTTGTTGGACCCCGTGCTTGGCGCTGTTTTAGAATCCAGATATCACCCGTGTGAAGTCGGTGCATATCGTTAGTTATTTATACAAAACAATAATTAAGCTATTATATTAATTTTATATTAAAATTTTCTGTCTAAGAACTTTCAGTGTCACCCTCGTTGTTGGACCCCGTGCTTGGCGCTGTTTTAGAATCCAGATATCACCCGTGTGAAGTCGGTGCATATCGTTAGTTAATTATACAAAACAATAATTAAGCTATTATATTAATTTTATATTAAAATTTTCTGTCTAAGAACTTTCAGTGTCACCCTCGTTGTTGGACCCCGTGCTTGGCGCCGTTGTAGAATCCAGATATCACCCGTGCGATGTCGGTGCATATCGTTAGTTATTTATACAAAATAATAATTATGCTGAAAACATACATTAAGCCCTTTTATGGAGATCAGGGGGTTATTTTAATGTGTTTTGTCTGTCTGTTTGTCCGCCTGTCCGGGATAACTTTCGGAATGGCTGAACCGATTGTGATGAAACTTGACGAACAGATAGAGAACAACACCAGGAGTGATCTAAGCAGCATTTAATACCAAAACCTTTTTAAAATCTAAATTACACCACATTAATAAATTTCATCCAAGCATAGCCTAATATTAATAATTACAAGCTGACGGTAGTAATTATGACATCACGACGTCAAACACCTCAGTCCCATATACCGCGTGAAAGTGCGAAACGTCGGAAATTTAAAACAAATTATAGTGTAAACGATATGAAGTATGTACGCAAAAACATAGTTTCATTCAATGTGTAGTATTCGCTTAAATACAAAAAATCATTATGTTGAAAACATTTGCAAATAGACGAAACAAATACTGCTTTGTCCTCCCAGGAGTGAGAGGAGTACCGAATCTAAGAGTGTCTAAGAGTGATCTAAGACTGATTTTCCCGGACGGATACGACTTGGGGACCATAAAGACAAGAGCCTACTCTTTTAAAAGGACGGCGACGCACCTGCTGTGGTATTGTAGTTGCAGTGATGTTAGACGTACCTATTTCTTGGTATGCGTACCATTTTTTGGGGCATGGGAGTAACTAAATACTGTCCTGATACGCAAAAATACCATGTTTCTGAGATCGAACATGAGTGATAATTTTTCTATTAAAAATGGGCCATCTCGTAACCTCCATCTAACCCGCGGGCTAAGATGAGGTCTACGATGGAGCAAGTTTGCCCAAGACAAGCCTGTTAATAATATTTTACTGCTATTTTTAAAAACAGAATGTCAGGCATTGTTATAGCTGTTTACACTAATAGGAAGTTGTACGGCTTTAGTTAGAATTTGATTTATTGTGCGAGGTCGATGTCGGAATAAATTTGAAATGGTCGACCAGAGTTCGCGTCCTATTGCTACAGCCTTACATTTAAAAAAAAATATGTATTTAGTAAGTTTGTTCGGTGGTTCAAATTCAAATTCGGGGCCCAATCGAATAAAAAACACTTGCCAACTTATATTCATATCGTGTTACTATACAATATGAAACAAAAACCCTGTGGTTCCCGTTAAGTGCGTTATCAGATACCACTTTAATAACAAATAAGCTGTAATGTATTGTATAGCCTGCATCGTCTGCACTGTACTAGGCGGTAGTACGAGTACCTACAGTGGGTTGCCAAATTATTAGGGACAGTCAATTTTTTTCTTGTTTTCTAACTTTGGATGCACTTGACTACAGTTCAAGTGGTTAGAGTGGAGATGAAATTTATTATATCGTTTGACCTGCTTCTTTCGCTAGATTTTGAGATTTATGGGGTTTGTTTTTATATTTTAAAAATTTTTGAATAGCGTGCGAGCCTCATTATGCTTAAGACGCGATAGAGTGAAAGACGGATTTGAAGATTTCGAACAAAGTAAATTTTATATTTGTGCTTTTAAATTGTGTCAAAATGTAAGTACTATTATAATTTATTATTATATAAATATTTTTGTTGAATAATTTTGATAATTTTATTTTATTTTATAATATTTATTTCGTCTTCCAGCATGGGTAAGGGTTGGATTTGTCTCCTAGGAAAAAAAATCTGAAATTAAAACCCTTCTCGAGCACACCACTCACTCCCAAAGAAAGATAGCAGATATTGCTGGTGTTTCCAAGTCGGTAGCTAATAGAATAAAAATTAATTTGGACAAAAAGCAGCCCCTGTCGCCTAAGAGAAAAGGCAACAGTGGGAGAAAGCGCGTCACAACACCACGTTCAGATAGAAGAATTAGGGATATCTGTCTACAAAACCGAAAAAAAAGTGCTAGCCTGTTAACTCAATTAATCCAAGAATCTGGAATATCAGTTTCCAAGAGAACTGTGCAACGCAGGTTGGCAGAAGAAGGATTAACAGGCCATCGTCCTGTAAAAAAACCTCGCTTGACTGAAGCAATGAAAAAAAAGCGACTGGCTTGGGCTCGGCAACATCGACAAATGACAATTGAGGACTGGAATAAGGTCAGTTTACCTTATTTCTGTTGTTTTTTCCTATTTACCATTATATTCGATAACATTATTCAACATTTCTATTTTTTTTCAGGTGTGTTTCTCCGATGAATCAACTTTTGAAATTTTGGCCGACAAAAGTAGCTTCGTCAGACGGCGCCCAGGTGAAAAATATTATCTCGACTGTATCGTGGAGAGGGTAAAACACCCTGTCAAAATAATGGTGTGGTCAGTCATAAGTGCCAAGGGTGTTGGACGGTTCTACGTTGTCCAGGGGACCATGAGATAACACCAATATAAAGAAGTGTTACGAAATCGATTGTTGCCAACACTCAGGGAATGGTTCCCTGATGGTGAGAACTTCACCTTTATGCATGATTCTGCACCCTGCCACAAAGCAAGAAGTGTCACCAAGTTTCTAGAAGAGAATAACATTCCAGTCTTACCTTGGCCTGGCAATTCTCCTGATATTAACCCCATAGAAAATCTTTGGGAGATCACTAAAGCAGAAATTGCCAAAGAAATGATAACCACCAAGGTAAGACTGATTGAAAGGCTAATAGAGGTTTGGCATCACAATCCTAGAATAAAAGAAAGCGCTAAAAAATGCATAGAAAGTATGCCCAGACGCATAGAAGCACTAATTGCAGTCAAAGGAAATGTTACAAAATATTGACCAGTAAAATTCGACAACATCTTGTACTTATTTAATTTAATTTTAATTATTTTTAATTACTTTATAATATTTCTTATTACTTTTATGACATTATAGGATATTGTCCTAATTATTAAAAACGCAGTTAGATTAAGAAGCCTTTGTTTTATTCATTAAATTTAGCCAAATACTTGACAAATGAATTTTTTTCAACTGTCCCTAATAATTTGGCAACCCACTGTATGTATAGTAAAACATAATACCATATCCGTAAAACATACTATAAGTAATATCTACACTACAGTATGAGTGTACCAATTTTTACCTTAGTACCAATTTTTTATTGGTACCTAACAAATTTATGTCGAAACTTGTTACGGTAACATCTCGGATCGGTAACATACGGATCTTAAAACTAGTTGTAGGTTCCGCCCTCCCTCAATTGCGTGCACTATCCCCACACTACTAATCCTAGCACGACCATTCCCAACAATGTAGTGGACACCAGGAAACTTAGACCATTCAACCCAACTGGGAACGACACACCACTGTAGACAATACGCCACGTGTTTTACCTCTATACGAGGCATCCTTAGGTGAATAGACTGCGGTAGCTGACTGCTAAGTACTGATAACTAATAGTTGTAATGTATAGTAAATGATTATTGTACTGATAGGTGTTTATAAAAAGCTACGAGAACCTTTTTTACTCGACTTCAAAAACGAAAAGGTATTCAAATCAACTGTCTGGTTATTTAATGTGCCTCAGAACTTTTCTCTGGGAGAACCGATTTCGATGAACCTTTTTATTATTGTCCTACCACCAGTGAAAACCTTCTCGGATTTCCACGATCGTACACGAAAGTGGATAAAGGATTATTTTTAGACAACACGGCGATTTTACATCGATGTGTTTCGATGTGTTCACGCTGTGTTGACAAATTTCTGTTTGTAAACATCTGATGTCGTAGTTGAATCGAATCACACAAACAGTATCATGTTCTCTTTCTCTTTTTCAGCACAAACATACTTTTATACACAAACATGTTATGTATGTCCGGTGGTGGAGGTCTGGTGACTGTTGCACAAGAAATTCTAGTATCGTCACGAGGCTATAACTAGTTTTTAAACGTATCCATATTTCAACTGTAATATTGTATAGAGAAAAAAAGAATTATTATAATCACCATTATTACGTAGAAACTCATTAAAATAAATCTTGTAATAAGAAGGTACCTACTATAATATAATACCTACGTATATATAGCACTCACTATTCATTACTAGAATTTTATAGGAGTTTGTACACAACGTGCAACATATCTGAAGATTTTTATTTAAAAAAAAACAAGATAACTATTTGTTATCAAGATTTATATTTTATTTATTAATAGCCTATAAAAAGGGGGCGGATCGCTTACCCTGTAGCACTAGCGGTCAAGGTTTATAAGGCGGCAGGATGTAAGTTCTATTGAGACCATTAGAACTCATACGTAGTTGGATCCTCGAGCAAACATTTTATAATCATGTGGTAGTAACAATTACCACACGTATTCGAATGCATTTAAGATCGCGTAACTCGCGAATAGTTTAGAAGTTGAAATATTCTACGACGGTGTACCTACCTCGGAACATTGCACTTATAGTAATGGAATAAGAATCAAATTGATTCGTTTATTACTCTACTGTCTATTATTGCAACGCGTGAGTATTGGTTGTGTGGAGATAACCTGCTTAAATTGTTGTTTGTATAACATATTCAATTAATCAGCATTTTGTGTAAAACGTTTTCACAACGAACAATCATACAAGTGGAATTTATTGCTTCAATACGTTTGATAAACTATGATAATATTACTATCGTATTCAAGTAGTTAGAAATAATTAAGAAAACAAAAGGAATAATAATATCACTATTGTCTTTTTATATAAGGGACCTGGTAAGTAGGGTTGCCAACTTTTTTGACAAAAAAAAACGTATACAGTGGTGAGATAGGAAAAAAAATAAAGTATTAGGAAGAAAAAAAAAAGTATTTTTCAAATTTTATGTTTTTATTGCTTTATACACGTATTTTTGTGTGCTTTTAGCACATGCTAACAATTTTTTGTTGTCTTTAAATGTTACAAAGCTTGTTTGACAATCAACATTTAAATTTAAATAAATATTTTTTTTTTGTTATTTTAGCTTTTTAGGAGTCACTGGTGTGTCGCTATCAGAATTACTCGTCATTTTCAGCATTAATATTTACTTTAAAATGCATTCTTCACTTATAAACAAAACTAACGGACCAGTTTTGTACAATTTCGTCGATAGTGAGAGACATCTGTGACAAACGTCACAACTGACATCTGACATCTAATAGGCCTTTCCGATTCACGCCAACAGCGCTGTCAGCGCCAATAATCCGTTCCGAATCAACCGTAAGCGCGCTGATGACAACGCTAACGCTGCTCATGGTCGCGAGCGTAATCACTGTTGGCGCTGTTGGCGTGAATCGGAAAGATAGGTAACATTTCGTTCAGCAATTATAAATCGTTAAGTACCCATGATGAGTATGTTTTACGCATCACAGTAAAGGTTGAAAATAAAGTATTTTTGCATACTTTATTTGTATGTAAAGGTATAAAGTATAATTACCAAAAATAAAGTAGGATACGTTATTATAAAGTATGGTTGGCAAGCCTACTGGTAAGTGACCACTGCCGCCCATAAACTGCAGTCCACAGTTATGTTACACAGTTGCCCAATGAACATGATACAGATGTCGCTCAAACCTGCTATTTCAAATAAAAATTGGTACACTCCTACAGTAGTATAGATATTACTTATAGCGCGTTTTACGGATATGGTATGCTTTACTATATATAGGTACTCGTACTACCGCCTAGTACAGTACAGAGGATGCAGACTATATAATATATTACAGCTTACTTGTTATTCAATGATATCTGATAACGCACTTAACGGGAACCACGGTGTTTTTGTTTCATATTTTATAGTAACACGATATGAAAATAAGTTGGTAAGTGTTTTTTATTTGATTGGGCCCCGAATTTGAATTTGAACCACCGAACAAACTTATTAAATACATATTTTTGAAAGAAAAAAAAATTAATGGCACTGACAACAGGACGTGAACTCTGATCGACCATTTCAAATTTACCTCCGTTAGACATTGCCATCTCGCACTATCATCAAATAGTTATAACAATGCCTGACATTCTGTTTTTAAAAATAGCAGTAAAATATTATTAACAGGCTTCACTTGGGCAAACTTGCTCCATCGTAGACTACATCTTTGCCCCCGGGCCAGATAGAGGTCGAGGCCCATTTTTAATAAAAAAGAAATATCATTCATGGTCGATGTCAAAAACCTGGTATTTTTGCGTATGACGGTATTTAGTTGGTACATGGTATAAGACCCCAAAAAATGGTACAAAGAAATTGGTACGTCTAACATCACTGCAACTGCAATACCACTGCAGGTGCGTTGCCGGCCTTTTAAAAAGAGTAGGCTCATTTCTTGTAGGTCCCTAAGCCGTATCCGTCCGGAAAAATCAGTCTTAGATCACTCTTAGACACTCTTAGATTCGGTACTCCTCTCACTCCTGGGAGGACAAAGAAGTATTTGTTACGTCTATTTGCAAATGTTTTCAACATAATGATTTTTCGTATTTAAGCGAATACTACACATTGAATGAAACTACGTTTTTGCGTACATTAAGTATGTATATTCATATCGTTAACACTACGACAATTTGTTTTAAATTTCCTACGTTTCGCACTTTCACGCGGTATAGGGGACTAAGGTGTTTGACGTCGTGATGTCATAATTACTACCGTCAGCTTGTAATTATTAATATAAGGCTTTGCCTGGGTGAAATCTATTAATGTGGTCTAATTTAGATTTTTAAAAGGTTTTAGTATTAAATGCAGCTTAGATCACTCCTGCTGTTGTTCTCTATCTGTTCGTCAAGTTGCATCACAATCGGTTCAGCCATTCCGAAAGTTATCCCGGACAGGCGGACGACAGACAGACAAAACATTTTACAAATGGTTAAAAATGTCCCAATGGCATTAAAATAACCCCCTGATCGCCATAAAAGGCTATTTAATGTATGTTTTCAGCTTAATTATTGTTTTGTATAATTAACTAACGATATGCACCGACTTCGCACGGGTGATATCTGGATTCTACAACGGCACCAAGCACGGGGTCCAACAACGAGGGTGACACTGAAAGTTCTTAGACATAAAATTTTAATATAAAATTAATATAATAGCTTAATTATTTTTTTGTATAAATAACTAACGATATGCACCGATTTCGCACGAGTGATATCTGGATTCTACAACAGCGCCAAGCACGAGGTCCAACTACGAGGGTGACACGGAAAGTTCTTAGAAAATCATCATCAATCATCAATCAAATACTGATTAAACTAGCAAGTTATTAGTTTTATTACATCTTTTCAAAATAGTGTCCATTTACATCAATACATCGCTGCATCCGATGGAACCACTGAGAAAAGCACTTTGCCCACTCGTCCTTAGGGGTCTCTTCGACGGCATTTTGAAACGCAGCCACTGCTTCCTCGGCGTCCATAAAACGTTTTCCTTGAATTTTTTCTTT